TCAAATATTTTATAGACAGAAAACTTTCATATTTGTAAGCAGTTTCATTACTTCATTTTGGTAGGGCATTTTTCTCTTGCTAACCATGGCTTATAACATTTGGTAGTTCCTCCCTCCCCTTTCTAAGACATCCAAGTGGCTCCTCTCCAGATATTGTAAATCTTTAGATCTGCCAGAAATAGAAGCTTATTTGCTGATGCATGTTACAGTCTTGTCAGTTCTGTGGTCCATAACCCCCTGCTTACATAGCTTTCTCTTTCATCAAAAGTGAGACAGTAACTGTAATTGCTCAATGGGCATCTGGAAGTAACATTAATAATGATGGTAATAATAATGACCTCATAGGATGGATAATTTGGGGGATTAAAGAACATTTACAAGCTTATTGTGCCATATAGCTAATGATGAGGTGCCAAGGTTTCTCACCACCTCCCTTTCCAGTGGTATTTCCTGCTTGGATCAGAGGACTAATTATAGAAAATAGTGTCTTCTAAGAGCTTTCCCCAGCCCACAGCATATGCTAGCATAAAGATCGAACTGTTTCAGTGTTGTTTTCAGAGATGATTTATGAATGTTGTTTTGTAATTGTATAAAAATGTGTATGATGTAATCATTTAGTGTTTATTTATTGTGTGTACCTTCTACTCAGAGGGTTGGCATTATTGTTCCTAACAGTGACGGATACAAGCAGATCATGCCTTATGACCTCTACCATCCCCTTCCTCGGTACGTAAATCAATCATCGTGATGTTAGAATTAGCACGTCACTCTTCTGTTGCTTTAGTGTATATGTGTAAAAATGTAGAGCTGTAGATCTGTTTTTCTACAAATAAGATGGTAGATGGTAGACTTTCAAATCCATTCTGAGCTCTCCTCTTGAATAATCCTGGCCTGCTCAGATTGTAAGCTTGTCATTTAGATACCATTTTGATGGAGTCACATTTCATTGAAGTGGACACAGTAACTCACTCTAATTAGCTACAGTATGTCTCTTTAGGCCATGTCTCACTTTCATTCCCTTTTCACTGCCTCTCTGGCTCCTCTGGGTAGGAGCCTGGTTATCACAGAGCCACTGCTAACTTAAACAAACACTGCCTGATGGGCGGTCACAACACCATGAATATGAAATTCCAGAAATGGAATTATTCTAATAGAGGCTTCAGGTGCCCTTCCTTTATTTTTGAAGAATTATATTTAGTTAAAGACAATTTTATATCCTTATTGTTCAGAACATTTTACAGAGTAAGTTTTTTTTTCAACACATAAAGATCAATTGCTACACTGTTTTGTTAAAGTATATTTTTAAAACTAGAAAAAAAGATTATTCAAATATGTTTAAAGGACTTTTTATCTTTATATTTGAGAGAAAACTGGAGTTGCTGAGAAATGTATTAGTTGCCAATTGTATTGCTTGCCTGGAAATAGCTCTGCAGGTAGCAAAAATTAGAATTAGTTTTAAATAGCTTTGCTGTTTTCTTTACTAATTTGCCCCCCCCCCAGGGAATCAGCTGCTGTTTAGGGTCCTGGGTTTCTATGAGACCATGAGCAGTTAACATAATCTATATTAGTTTGCTAAATCCTAGACTACAGCATGCAGAAAAGTAACTGTATTTTGAGCAGCAAAATTCAGCAAATTTAATTGATAGTCTCTGAATCCTAACATATTAGAATCTAACTGGATGCTAATCCAACTGTCCAGTGATATGTCCTTCTCATAGTCCTGGCTCAGCAATCATGCCCACAACCCAGATAAAGTAAACATGCATGTTTACACAAACAGGAATTAGTGTGTTCTCTGTGTATATTTACATATGTATAAATGCATATATAGGTATTTCCATGGTGTTCAGTATCTAGTTAAAAACTGGCAGGAGACTGTCTTATCACTGTCCTAGGAGCCATGTGCAAAAGGAGATTGAGTGACACTGGATACAATTATTGCAAAATGTGTCACTAAATGGCTCCCTCACCAGTCAGCGGGCTCCCACCTTGCTGTAATTGTGCTGATAAGGACAGTAAGGGACCTCAGAATCCCCCTTAGGTATCTTTTTCCAGAAGTCTTCTCCTTGATAGCGTACTGAAAGAAACCAAAAGATAAATACAACTGAGCCAAGATTTCCCTTCCTGGGTCTGTGAAGTAAGTATTCCTAGGACACGTGCTTTCTTTGTATGGAGGAAAGCCATGTATTTTAAAATAAAGGTAAAGTTGGGAGTCAATGTGAACAACACTGAGTGTATGTTTCTCCTATCAGGAAAATCTCTAGATTCCTGTCATCTTCTATTAGTTTTCTCTTCTTTTTTTTTTTTTTTCCTGGTGCAAGTAATACCTTTCATATGGTAGTCTTGACTCTTATAGAATGAGACTTCCCTCAAGTGTCTAAAATCTGGTGCTGCCTCATGCCTATGGTCCGTCCCACTTACTGGTTTCTGCACCATGCCCTGTTTACTTATTTGATGTGTCTATTCATCTCAGCAGAAAAGGACAATGCAGTTAGCAAACAGGCTGCATTTCTCGGCCCTTGTACTTCTGTTTTCAAGTACTACAAAAGACACAAAGTCAGCTTCCCGGACAAAGCTCGAGTAAATGGCAGCTGTTTCTAGAAATGTGTTTCCATTTAACAAAATTAAAGCTCCAATAGCTCTCCAACAGCAGTTCCTTGATAATTGAGGCAGAAAGCTTCACTCTAAAACATTTAAGTAGGCTTCAGACAAGTAGAGATACAGCACACAGTTAGTACATTTTAGGGTCTTTCCTGCTCTCTGCCTTTGACTTAGCCTAAATCTCAATGTAAGTCTCATGATGATCTAATTGATTGACAATGAGCTCCTTGCTGTCTCTTTTGCTATATCCTTTTTAATTTTGAAAAATTCTTAAACTAAACATAGTGTGGGTTTAAGGTCATTAAAATCCAAGTACGTTTAAATACATGGCATGTAAATTTATTTAATAGTCTTCTAGGACAAGATTTTTTTATATATATTTTCTTTTATTTGGAAGTATTCACCCTGGTCACTGTTTTAATATCTCTTGACAAAAGAATGTCGTCTCTTGTCTTTCATTAGACTTTAACTAAATATGTTGTACTTTAAAGTTCCCTATGGCCTCATTCTTACATGAGGAGTCACATGACGCTATGTCAACACACAGATCTGAGTTTGTAAGCTCAAGCCATGCTATGAGTCTGCAAATTAGTATCATCCTCATCTATCTTGTGATCAACAACACTGAGAAGAGTGCCTGCATTCATTAGTGAAGTTACGTGGCTGAGGCGAGTGTTGAGACAGAAATCAATCATTCTCCCTTTCATGAGAGGTGAAGTTTCAAGGTTTTAGAGCACCCATTAGAAAATGTTTTCCCCCATAGAATTGCAATCATCTAGGTGATTAAATATCCATTAACATATTGCTGCTTCACTATCAGATTAAATGTAGCGTGAGTATACACTTATGTATTCATCCCATCTTCAGTCTGAACCAGGCCTGTTCTCCACCTCGAGAAGGAAGTCATGCAGAGATTAACCGGGAGGCAAGTAGAGCTAGCTGCCTTATCCTTTGGCAAGGAAAACTGTGCAGAACCAATTCATTCCCTTGAAATAACTTTTATGCAATCTCCCAAGGGTTAAAGAACCTCAGTTTCCCCATAGTAACATCTTTGATGTGTCTTCTGGGGGTAAATACTGGATTGGGCAGCACAGCTTGGCTGTTGACAGTGAAGACAATGGTGTGCCTAAACCCAACAGTGCAGACAAAATGTGTCAGAAACTCCTCTAACACTGGAAACACACAGTATTATTCTGGTTCCCGCAGAAGAGAAATCAAGCCCACAACACATGTGAAACTTACATATAGAATAATTACAGTCTCCATGGGCTGCCGGCTGCCTGTGCAAGACTTAAAAATGAAGCTATCCAGGTGTGTCAACTCAGGGAGGTTTTGGTTCTTTCTCATTAAAATGAGATCTCTCGTGATTCTTTAAGAACTCTTAAAGCTCCATACAAACCCTAACTATCAGAATACATGTAAGGAACAAGCATGGCTCACTCAGTGCCTTGCTGCTGTAAACAGGAGTTCCACTTGTCTAAATCTACAGGAGGAGAGAAAAGAATTAGGTAAAGATCTGGTCCCAAATGCTACAAAACTGAAAGAAAAAGACAGAGAGAGAGAGTCATAGACAGAGACAGAGAGAGAAAGGAAAAAAAGGAAAGAAGGAAGGAAGGAAAGAGAGAGAGAAAGAGGGGGGAGATTAAATTCTCTTAAGCTTCATCGGCAGTCTTGTTATTCTCTGCCTTAACTTAACAGCATAATCTCCGTTCAGTCGCCATAAGCCTTTCAACCGAAACTAAGCATGTTTACAAGTCAAGGAGTTCCTTCCTGGAGGACAATTTAGAGTCTGTCACCAGCTAGAGAGTATTACTGTTATTGACACTTCTGGTCCTCAGCTTACACACACTCAGCATAGTCTAAGCACCCAGCTTGTGCTGAGTGTGTGGAATCCTGGAGCTGACAGTGGCAGAAGGGAGGGAGAAAGAGCTTTTGTGTAGGGAGATATGTATGAACATCTCCTATTTAAAAAAAAAATCCAGAAGTGATAAAGCAAAACATTAAAGATAAAAGTATCCACCCAAATGGAAAACTCTTGTATTCGTTGCTTATTTTAGTTTTAGATTTAATGGAAATATTTAGTGCAAAGTAATTAAACTTTAATACATATGTAATATATGCACATGTATGTATGTATGTTATATATACATATATACATATATATGCAGAAACTACAGAGAGAGGACTGCAGATTGAATCTCCATTGTAAATAGGTTGCAGACAGCCCAGACATCCGGTGGATTGCTCCCCAGACTGTAACCACCTATATCTGTGCTGGGATTTGAGGCTTATGAAACAGTCTTGCCAATGTTGGATTTTGCCTCTTGATGAAATTTCAGCCCATGGAGAGCTTTGGTTCTCTGGAGAAGCCATGATCGGCCCAGGGCACCAGGTTGGTGTGACAGGTCACTAAGGAGGTTTGGCAATTTGCACGTCCGCCCTGATGACTCCCCTTGCTTCTGTAGGTGGGAGGCCACCCCGTGGACCGCGTGCTCCTCCTCGTGTGGGGGGGGCATCCAGAGCCGGGCAGTTTCCTGTGTGGAGGAGGACATCCAGGGGCATGTCACTTCAGTGGAAGAGTGGAAATGCATGTACACCCCTAAGATGCCCATCGTGCGGCCCTGCAACATTTTTGACTGCCCTAAATGGCTGGCACAGGAGTGGTCTCCGGTAACTGTGCCCTCTTTCTTTGTTCGTTAGGAGAGTAAGTCCACTCTTAGCTCTCACCATCATGCTCCACTGAGTGCCCTGTACAGTGCCATCCTTCTCTACCTGAGGTCTCCAAGCCTGTCATCTTAGTTCCTGGAGGATGAATGTCCCATCTGACCAAACATTTGTTAATCTTCCTTCAAGTTACTTCAACTTCGCTTCTTCTCGCCCCAATCGGGTAGCAAATGCCTTTCAAGAATTATTGAGGTTGAATGATCCTTAATCTGTGAGAGCTGCTTCCATGAGATAGTACAGCTGATTTGATTTTTATTATGTTTTTTGTATTATGTAAAAGGGGTGTGAATAGTTTAAAAATATAACTATGTACACATTCACTGAGAAGAAACATGATTAAGTGAAAACAGCACAATAGTTAAAAATAGATATGAAATAGAATTATTGAAACCCAAAATGCTACCAATACTACCTGTCATTGTTGCTACAATTGAGCTTAAAACATTATTCTTAGCTGGGTGTGTGGCACAGGCCTATAATCCTAGCTCCTTGAGAGAGTGATTCAAGAGGATTGCAAGTTCAAGGCCTGTTTGAGCTATATAGGTAAACTCTGCCTCAAAATAAAGAGTAAATTTAAAAAGGAAAAGGCTAGTGATATGGCTCAATGGTAGAGCACTTGCCTACTATGTCCGAGGCCACAGGTTCAGGATTAGTCCTTAGTACTGTACAGACACACACACAGACAAACACACACACACACACACACACACACCTGTTCTTGGTTTCCTGCTTACAGGATGTAAAAATGTAAAAAAGAGGAATGGGGAAGGAGATAGCAAGATGTGGAGGCAAACTACTGTGTCCTTATCCACAAAAACAACAACAACAACAACAAACATAACAACAAAAAGCACTGCGCTGTGTCTGTCAGGACAGATTCAAAAGCCTGGCATTTCCTGTATCAGACCCGCCCCAGGGCTGGCAGAGTTATCAGAGATGCTCTCTCCTTCTGCCCATTGACTCAGCTCCTATGATTTTTTTTCCCCACTTCAATACAATCAGTTGCATTGTCTATGTTGTGTATAAATTAGCTGTGGTAGTAGTTTAACATCTCTTAATATCCTTGTATTTCTCATATTTTGGGCAGATATGCACAAAGTAACTAAATAAGGTTATATGAGCAATTGAACTTGAACAAACTATAGCTTTGTGTCTCTTTTGTGGTACTCTATTTGAGTCTGTCTTTGCACATAGTACAACTAATTAATGATATCCTAAAAAACGTTTAAAGGATGATTTAATTAACTTCACCTCTGAAACCCAAACAGAACCAAGATCAAATAACTGGTAAGAAGTGGCTTAAATCCACCAGAAGGACTCACATACATATATGTATGTGAAACTTTATTTTTTTAAGAAGTATACTTACATATCATGCCTTGGGTGGGAAGTTAAATAAATTAATCGGGCTTTGCCTATGAGTCTTCTCTCTCTCTTTCTCTTTCTCTTGCCATCTCTTCCCAGTGCACAGTGACATGTGGCCAGGGCCTCAGGTACCGTGTGGTCCTCTGCATTGACCACCGAGGAATGCACACAGGAGGCTGCAGTGCAAAAACGAAGCCCCACATAAAAGAAGAATGCATCATACCCACGCCCTGCTACAAACCCAGAGGTAACTGAACAGGGGCCCTTACCCTTCCTCCATGATGAGGGGCACCCGGGCATCTCAGATCTCCTTGGGTTGTTTTCTAGTGTCCTAAATGTTCTTAGCAATGGTTCTTTATAACACAGACTATATTAAATAGACTTGATTCTCTTTACATCTTCAAATTTTTTTGTCTTATTTTACAGTATTTTTAGTTTTTATGCAAAATAATGGTTTTTATTATGGCATTTTCATTCACATATTATGTGTTATTCATATATATTCATGTAAGTATACATGCGTGTGTGTTTATATGTGTATATATCATTGTAACTTGCACTTACCCTACCACAGCACCTCTTTGTCCCTGTCACTAGTCCATTGTCTCTGCCAAAATAGTCCCTTTGTTTTTCAGCATCGTGTGTGTGTGTGTGTGTGTGTGTGTGTGTGTGTGTGTGTGTGTGTGTATGGGTGCACACGCACGCACACACACTGATTATGAGAAAAAGCATGCCTTGTATTAGTTTTTCTGAGTCTGGCTTATTTCACTTAACATGATTATTGTCATTTCAAACCATCTTGACTACATCCTTTATGAAGTAGCACATGTAGAAATCTATGTATACACTTGTCTTCCAACTGTTTGAAAATCATTGCTGAAACATATTGGATTCATCTTCATAAAGAGAGACCAGATTGTATATATATTATGTATGTATATGTAATTTACTATCCACATTTCTTTTAAAAACAAGGAACGAATCCAAATATTTCTACTTTGCTGAGCCTGGCATATGCTGGGAAGTCACAGGCATCAACTGAGAAAGCAGAAAACTGTTACTTCCTATATTGAAAATTAAAGTAATATGAGGCTGAATTCCAGAAGTATAATTTGACATAGAACTGTGACACATATCCGAATTTAATAGATGTCAGAAATGATTTTTTTTTAATTTAGAAAAAAATCTACTTAAGCAAGAGGCATTACAATTATATTGGATCTTTCAGATCAGTGTGACTATTGATCACATTTCTATGACAGTATTGTTGGTGTGTCAATGGAACAGGAAAACTCAGAATCAAAAACCATTTGGATGTTCAGAACTCTATACAATACAGCATTGTAATTTTAATGCCAAAGATGGTTCCCATTTCTTTCTTCATATTGTTTCTTTGAGACATTACATTTCTATGAAAATCAGCCATGAGGTAGTGCTTCATTATACTTATTATCTGAATGAGTAGCATTGTGAGCTCTTAATAGTCTAAAAGGAAAACAGAAGGACAGACCAGAAATCCCAATTATTCTTAATAATCTCACTCTAAGTTTACTCTTCTGTAAAATGGGGGAGACATTAGTATGAATGTGGGAGATCATGAGAGGGTTACAAGAGCTATGGTGTAATAGGGTTCTTGACCTGCCCCCTGCCTCACACTGGGTTTCCTCCAGACATTACCTTTAAGCAGACTATCATTAATATCTTCAAGTATCAGATGAAGTTGCCACAAGCACTGGACTCAAATCAATAGTGGAGCACAAGCCTGCTGTTGGTGCCAAGGTAGACACTTCGTTACACTGGCTGTCATTTAACTGGGGTGGATGGTGGAGCTGTGACATGATGCATGTGCAGGTGCCCTGCACCCATGAGGCTATCATCTTTGGCAGCTGCCCATTTCTTGCTATGTTTTGTAGCTATAAGCAATGGCTGCAAATAGAAGACAAGTAGTGAAAACCCAACTAAAAATAGCCAATTATTTATTAGTTCTATCTTTACCAAGCAGCTTTGGAGGGAAGAAAAATTTGTCTGTAGTTAACTATCAAGAATAAAATCTGGATTTTTCACAGCTAAGCAGTGATCTTGACTCTGTAAGCATCGTTAAAATACTACATAACTCCATAGTGCATGCATATGTGGATATATTTCTTTCATCTTTGCAATTATATGCTATAAAATGGTGACAGAACTTCACTGGCTCATACTATAAAGGCAAATATGCCCATAAATGACCTTAATAAATATGTCAGAAATGAGAATCTTGGCAGTGACTTCTATAGGGGCAGTTAGAGCCTCCCTAGTTCTTTTTCTCCTCCACATTTTCCCCAGGAAGCACTTAAGAAGCTTGTTTGAGTTGTTTGCCCAAAGCTAGATGAATAGGTAAAACACATCAAATCATGGTTTATGGACCTTCAGTGGCAGATGTTTCCATTGTTATTGAACCTTGAGGGCAATATTGAACAAGCCAGAACTTTAAAACAATGTTTTACAAATTTCAGCATGGTAATTTGTTTGGTTTTGATAATGCAAAATAAGATCACACTTAGCCAAAAGGCAAAACAATTATACAAAATACCACAGTATTATTGACTGGACTTTTTATTTTAAAAGGTGTCATTGGTGCTTTGTTGATTCTCTGTACTATTGTTGTCAGTGTTTCTAACAGGGATTTTTATAATAAAAGGACCTTGCCATTCAACATAGAGAGGAGAAGCATGTGTATAGACACAAGTGTTAAGAAACCTTCTTTAAATCCATTGGCCAGTCTTCTTGATGCAACCATCCTCAGAGACAGCTATTTGTCACAGTAATAATTATTTGCAATTGTCAGCATGACACATACTGCAAAACTATAACTAAGAATGAGGAACTGCCATGAACCCTCCGGTAGTTTCTAACCTCTTCCCTTCCCACTGTACTTATTCTCAGAGAAACTTCCAGTAGAGGCCAAGCTGCCATGGTTCAAGCAAGCCCAGGAGCTAGAGGAAGGAGCTGCTGTGTCTGAAGAGCCTTCGTAAGTTCAGGATGGGGACTCTCCTTTTGAAGGGAATTAGCAGCGGGGTCTCACTGCTGTGGCTTTCATGGATTCTAAGTTATATGTTACTATCCTCCCAAGAGGGAGTGAGCCCTCTGGGCTTTCCAGTCAGAGATGGATCTGTTGCCAAGTGTTGGTCAAAACTTTAATTGCATTCAAATGAGATTTAGAACTTTTTCATATTCTTCCTGACTAAATCTAAGTATTTTTCAGTTTTGTCCTATATAGGAAGAAACAAATAGGGTTCTTGTCCTCTTCTCCAATTTTTTTTCCTTTGGCAAGGAGCCAACGGTGAGAAATTCCAGGTTGATGATATAAAAGAGATTATAGATGGGCTGGGATGTAGCTCAGTGGTAGAGCTCTTGCTTCCCTAGCATATGCAAAGCTTTGGGCTTAATCCCCAGTATGATGATGGATGGATGGATGGATGGATGGATGGATGGATGGATGGATGGATAAAAAGACAGACAGACAGACAGATCTGATATGAAAGTCTGGCACAGCATTCCACTCTCCTTATCCCTGAGCTTTGTAGTATGGCTATTAATAAATAGTTAGAAGTAAATAAAATATATATAAAGGTAAAAGGCATGTAATAGCTTTACTTCTTCATTGGAAAGATGGTGGTTTTTACCCAGTTACTTATGGTACTATACAAGTTCCATTTGTAAACTGTGAAATCTAGACCAGTAGGCAGGGATTTACCACAGACTTCAAAAAGTAACCCGGAAGGGACATAAAAGCAGCTTGACTGGTAGAGCCGTATACACTGATTCCACTAGAAATGCTAACAGGCATATCTATTGCACTGTTTTCACACAGGGGAATGTACTTTACTGATCCATTCCATATATAATAAAAGTCATTTCACAGTTTGAAGCCTTTCTAGATTACTTTAATGTAGATACTAGGGTCCATATGATTTATGGACATACAAGACATGAGATCCCAACCTTCAGGAATTCACAGTAGAACACATAGGATATCATATACTTTTCAATTTCAAGCCGAAGTGTAAATTTTACTAGACACAAATGAAGATATTCAAATGAATTTTTTCTCCAATTTATCCTGTTTGGGTCTAAATCTGATATAATTTTTTAGAAAGTAAAATTGTGTTCCTGAGTTTCAAGAAATTTCAGTAATCAATGGTCACTTGATTTTCCAGAAGTAAATAAAATAAATAAAAATAAAAACAAATGGTGCATGCATTAAATATCATATTTTATTTAGGAGAACAATTAAATTAAACATAAATTATTTTTAATCATAAAGATCCCACAGTAAAAAAAAAATTAAAGAAAAGCAAGGGTGGCAGAATTTTGGAGAAAAGATGGCAGCTGAAGGTCACAAAACAAACTTGAATCAAATAGATGAAGACATTTCCCCTCCTTCTGTGGCTAGGACCTAGTCTCTAGGCAGGACCTAGTTTGACAGATCTTATTGCTGAGGAGGACATCAGGGTCCTTCATTCTGCATCTACTAAGGTTTTATCTGAGACAAAGGGTCACATTGCTGACTCAGTTACTCCTCAAACTGTGTACTGTTTATGGAAACAGTCTGCTCTCCTTATACATTAGATTTTGCCATCTGTTCTGAGGCATATCTGTCTGTAATATTGCATTCTAACTAACATTAAATAATAGAACAGAGTTAAAACTAAACAAAAGCATGTTGCATCTATTATTATACTTCTTTCTGGTTAGTCCATACCACTCCAATGAAACCTGTAAGTAGAATTAAATGCTTATGCAGAAGCATTTCATAGACCATGATCAGGCATATTTTATGGTGTGCATTTTCCACTAATGTTCCAATTAAGATACATTATGCTTAATTTTCATAAAAAACCCTAAAGCAACTAACCACACTTTCAGCCATTGAAATCATAGGCATATATAATTAAGTCATTAAATTTCACTCTTCATGTAATGGAATTGCCATCTTGGTGTGATTAATCTGAGTTGAAGTAGATTATAATTGGAGTGCCAATTTAATGTAAAGGAAATGTATACAGTTATGTTCAGAACAACAATTACATTAATACCAAAAATGAAATAAATGACAGCTGTAGAATTAGGTAATGAAAGCTATATGTTTTCCACATTTTAATACATCTTACATGTTTAATGTGCTGAGCCCTCAGAAAGGTCTTAAGTGTCACATTTTTTAATTGATTTTGAATTTTAAAAACATAATTTTGCATGGTCTTAATTCTTTCTTTTTTCAAAAAACCACATAGACATGCTTCCAAATGTGTATAACAACCATAATTACTCTCCAAAGCACAATGAAAAAATGATATACTGTCAGCAAGCCATTCTTCCCCCACCGAAGAGACTCACATTGGTTAAATTAAACAGTAATGTGTGGAAGCTGCAGCTGACAGTTCTCAACTGCTGCTCTGAGGCTGGAGGGAACAGAGGTCGAGAGCTGTTATCTCGTGCACTAACTGGAGCAGGCTTGGGTGAGTTATACAGGAAAGCAGCAAATATCATTGATTTTCCCATATGGAAAGTGAAAATATTATCAACAGCCTGTCTCATTAAATAAATACAGGAAAATCACTGTATTTAAGCTGTTAGCATATGGAAATGTCCTTATTGAGTGTCAGATATTTCTAATAACCCCAAAATAAAAGAAAAAATTGCTTAGCACTAGCCAGAAGTATGTTGGAAGGCAATCTCTCTAAGATATATTTAGAAGAAAACTATGCTAAAAGACCAAAAACTGAATTGCCAAGAAATAAGTAAAATATTAAAGAACACAAGAATGTTCTCACATTGTGGTTCCACTAACCTAAACATTGTGTGGATTATATGAATGCAGATATATCTCCAAGAAGCTCTGAAATAAGTATACAGATTGGATCATTTTGCATGAAATAGATTCATCATCTATTAAGTTTCATCTGAGGGCTGGAGTTTGCAGCTCCAGAGATGCTACCTAGTTTGCCCCCACAGCACTTCCAGAAACAAAACACAAATGTTCTGAGATGCCATTTTGTTCCTCAACAACAGAAGATGGACCTTGGGCAAATGGACTGTGGCAAATGTGTCATCTATGTGTACAGAAGTGGAAGTGTGAACTCTCTGATGGGAATCCACACCTCTGTGCTGATTTTGTCCCCTAGACATAGTTTTAACCAGTTATCTTGGCAACAAACAGCAAGAATCTTATTTTATGTGTATGGGTATTTTGTCTATATGTATGTCTGTGTATCATGTGTCCATTGTCCTTGGAGGCCAGAAAGGGAGTTAGACTCCCTGGACATGAAGTTACATACGGTTATGAACCACCATGTGGCAGCTGTGAACCAAACCAGGGTCTTCTGCTAGAGCAGAAAGTGCTCTTGCCTGCTGAGACTTCTCCCAGCCCCAAACTTTTTTTATTTTAAGTACAAGAGGGGTATGAGACTAGCCACAGAGGCCATCAGATGTAAGCCATGCCATGTAAGGCCCCCGGCTTAAGTCATCTGATGTGGATTCTGGGAGTCAAACTTGGATCCTCTGGAAGAGCAGCAAGCCTTCTTAACTGCTGAGCCATCTCCCCAGCTCCAGGATGAATCCTTAAACAAGGAATTTTTCTTTCTCCCATTGAGTAAGACAGGGCAAATATGATCCAAACATCAAACTGAAAAGTAAGCAGATTCGGAGCTTTCATGAACGAAACCGCTCACAGACAGTCGTAAAAATAAATACAGTGGAGTAAACTCATCTCCAAGGTTGTCAGCTGAAAAATCAAAAGAAATCTTTGTTCTAAATGGGGCCACTTGATCACCCCTCCAAGACTGAGGGAACACACAGGAAGAGATGGTAGAAAGATTGTAGGAGCCAGGCAATGGTGAAATATGTAGCAAAACGCAGTCCTTGGACATGACATAGCCACTACACTC